GTGGCCGAACTCCTCCAGCTCCCTGGCCCCCATCACCTGGTGCATGTAGGGGATCTGGTGGCGGAAAGGAATGAAGTAGCCCAGGAGGCGTTCCAGCCACCTGGCCCTCAAGTGCTGTTCCAACGCTCGTTGGGATGTCGGCAATTGGGTTTTGATCTTCCCTGGTTTCCAATGCCGCCACTTGTTGGCCACTGCCAGGACATCCGGGGCCTCAATCGATCCGGAGAGGATCCACTCCTCGCGGTCCCGGATGGCCTGCTCCATTTCCAGTGGAGAATAGGTGTGCGATTGTCTGGCGCCTGCCGCACGAAACAGAAGTTGTTGCAGGGTCTTAGTAGCGAGCTCCAAATCCGCCTCCTCCAGCGGTTGTGGTTGGGAGCCGAGTATCCTTGCGAGGATCAAGTTGTAGGTGTCCGAGGCCACCAGGACATGGTTGCCGTCAGGTGCCAGCCCCACGATTCGTGTCCACGGCCGCGGGTCAAAGACCACCGCATCCGGGTTGGCAACCTGGTCCTTTTTGACCCATTCCAGGCAGCACGCCACGAGGATTTCCCCGTCCGACTGCACTGGTGCAAATCCAAGGTCATGCAAAATCAACTGGAACGCGGTTGGTACCCCAAGGAAGGTCGTTCCAAACGGGGAAGGGAGGCGGGGCCTCCACATCATCGTGATCCACTCGAGCCAGGAGCCTAATTCCTAGGCGCAAACCCCAACCAAACAACAGGGGAGCCCCCAAAACCCCGGAAAGCCCATCCCGAAACGGGGGAAAAGGGGGGGGGGGGGACCCAGGGAGCCGCCCCGGAAAGGGAAGAACCAAACAAGGGAGGGGAGCCAAGGCGCACCCCGGACCAGCCCAAGCGCGCCAATTTTTCTCGCCTGGTACAGGTCTAGGCCTGTGCTGTGCCCAGGGGGGGATATCAGCGCCCTCGGCAGCTGTCCCCCCCGGGGTGCGCTGCGAATCCGTTCCGGATGGCCGCAGTGCTGTATGATCATACGGCCCCCTTTGCAATGTCGTCAATGCGCTTGAGCGCCGCCGCCTCCGGATTCCGGAGAATCAGCTCCCAGATGGCGTTTGAAACATGGCCGGTCTGGGTGATGTGGCTGAACCTAAACCGGGGGACTTTCTGGTCCACCACGGAGACATCCCGCAGCGGGGCAGAGGGCTCTACCCGGCGGTAGAACTCCAACCGCTCCTTGACCCAGCGGTTGTACAGGCCATCCGGCGGCTCGTCCAGCACCAGCTGAAGGATGGCCTTGCCGGCCCGGATCTGGAGGAGGCGGGTGCCCCCTCCCCCGGCGCGCCAGTACCCCTTGCAGTACTTGCACATGTAGCCCCCCCGGGTCTCCCCTTTTGTCTTCGGGATGAGTTCCCACGGGGTGACGGAGCTCAGGACCAGGCCACACTCCATGTGCGCCCAGAAGACATGCTTCGTCTCCGCCGGATAGTTCTTCTTCCGGTAGTCCTTGCCCACCACGCCGTGGACGTTGTCCGATGTGATGGGGGGGTAAACGATCCCCTCATCGCCCTCTCCTCCCCTGGGGCGGATGTCAGGGCCATCGGCACCTGTCCGGCACCCAGGGGCGGAGGGGTCAAGGCCCATCAGCTTGATCATGTCGTTGGTGTAGCCGAGCTTGCGGTAGATGGAGGGGGCTACTGAGTCGGGGACTGCGCCGACCCACCACTGCTTCGTGTTGCAGCGCCAGTTGACCTTCACCTCCGCCAGGGCCCCCGGGCCTCCAATGCGGTCCATGAGGGCCTTGTACACCTCTGGGAACTGCTGGAGACTCTCCACCGGGACAGATATGCGCTCATCACATACCGCCCGGAGGATCATCTGTTCCTTGGAGTCCGCCACGTCCTGGACCGGAGCTGCATCACCTCCGCCGGGGTGTCCGTGAGGAAGGCCCGGGCCGCGAGGACCTTGCCCATGGCCCGGTAGACCAATCGCCACTCCGGTCCTGTCTGCGGAAACGGAAGGCCCTCCTCCTTCAGGAAGCACCGCGCGTCTTCCTTCAGGGTCTCCCAGCCCTCCAGGCGGATCTGATTCTGGGCCTTGTTCTTCGGGCCCCGCTGCCTAGGGCCCTGAAGCAGTGGCAGGGACTCCCAGACTTTCCAGAGCTGGCGCAGGGTGAAGCTGTGACCAAACATCCCCAGTAAGCCTGGAAGTGTCCAGGACGAGATCTGGCGCGCCCAGTGGAAGTCCTCATCCGGATCGTGGGGGGCCGCCCAGAAGATGGAACGCAGGTCCTCGGGGTAGGGTCGGTCCCCCGCCTTAGCCTGCTGGTTCAACTCATCAACGGAGTACCTGGCCCATGGGAGTCCACCCACCTGGTGGTTCCTGGGATGCGTACCCCTCTCCAGCGCCTCCGGATTCACCTTGGTGAGGTTGTTGGCCCAGTCCGGGACGTGTACGGGGCCCGGTCGTCGGACCCAGCGGCCCGCAAAGATACGGACCTCTCCGACCCGTTTGCTCATCATCCAGCGCAGGACCGCGAGCTGCACCTCCGGGTCCTGGGTATCCAGGCCCCCTGGGGTGGCAGACGGCTTGTCAGGGCCCTCGGCACCTGAGCTCGTCGCGCCAGAGCCCGAGGCTGGGGGGATGGTGGGCTGCCTGTCAGGGCCCTCAGCACCTGGGCGCGCCGCACCAGAGCCCCCCGCCTTTGGAATGGGGATCCCCGCCAGATCCGGCAGATCTGCCAGGAGGGCCGCCGGAAAGGGGCCGCCTTGCAAGGCGGACCTCGTTAGGCCACGCACTGAATGGAGGCTTGATGGGCTCGAGCATTCTGGTCTCGTGGGCGCCCTTCGCTTGTCTGGCCTGGTGCTTTGCCTTCGCCTCCTCCGCAGTGGTCTGGGCCTGGAGGAGCTCCGGTGTGGGCCTCCCCCAGTCCGCGCCCAGCTTATCCAGCAGATTTTCGCGGAAAAGGTCCAAGTCCAAATTCTTGAGGAGTAGGCCCCCATCGCCTCCTCCATCAATGGCCCCTCCTTGAAGCTCGTGGAGGACCGCCGCGGATCGCTCCACCGCTGCCACCTGGTCTGCCTTCTTGGCCTCCTCCTGGGCAATGGTGGTGGCGTTGAGCCGGGTCTGGATTTTGAAAGCCTTCACCGCCGACGGGTGGAAGGCCCTGCATTCCTGGCCCTCTTCCTTGTCGCCCGGCAATGGAGGCCTCTCCCCCATTGGGGCCGTCAGGAAATCCTCGTCCAGCTCCATGGGGCAGTTCCTGATCACCGCCCGGACCGAGGAGGGGACAAAGTCCGAGAAGCTGGCCTGGTCCGGGTTCTCGCATGCCATCGGGTCGGTGGCCAGCTCGCTGACATCCACCGAGGCGCTGAGCTTGAGGTCGCGGGCCCGGTCCGTATCAGGGCCATCGGCACCTGCGGACCGGGCCGCCGTCCAGACCGCATTGCCCTGGTCATCCACCGTCAACTGCCAGTGCGTGCCCGCCATCTCCAGGGTGGCCGAGTTGGTCGCCATGTCAATGGGCTCCGTCTTCTTGCCGCACCCCATACACTTCCTGGCGCCCTTCTTCACCCAGGGCATGGTGCAGCAGGGGCAGATCCAGGATGTGGGCTCCTTACCCAGGGGGCGGTTCTCCAGGCCCCCATACCCCAGGCCAGCGCGCTTGCCGACCTGCTGTCCCGGGGTGCTGAGCCGGGCCTCATGCTCATACTTCATCTTGGCGATGTAGAACGCCTCCACCACACGCTCCAGGCCCCCCTGCTTGAGTTGGGGGCCCTCAAAGCCTCTCAGGAGCCGCTGGACGTCCTTGGCCTGCAGTCTGCGGAGCCTAGTGGCCGTGGTCGCATCAAAACACGGGAAGTTGCCCGCCATCTGGTCCTCGCTGAATTGGTAAAGGCCCTCAGAGACTTTGAGGGCCTTGGTGAAGACGCTTCCCCCTGGCGGGGGGGCTGCGGGGTCCTCATCCTCCTCCGAGGACGCCTGCTCCCTGACCTTCGCCATCAGATCACGGCGTCTCTGCCACTTGGTGTCGGACATCGGGAGCTCCTCCTCGTCTTCCGCCAGGAGTTCCTCCATGGGAACATCCTTCTCCGGCGGGTTTAGGAGCTCCAGGAACGCCCCTGGGGGGCGTGTCAGGGCCTTCGGCACCTGCGCCACCCCAGGGGCTGAGTCTGCCATCAGCTCGTCCTCTGCCTTGCGCTTGGCTGGGATGAGTGGGGCCTGCTCCAGCTCATCGGCGCTGGAGAAGAACCGCTCGTCAGGTGCCTGAGGGACCTCAGCAGCCAAGACGGTCCATCCTTCTTCCTCCTTCTTCACGAGGCTTGCCAGGTACTTCGCCATGGAGGCCTTTGCCTTCGCCTTGGCCTCTGCAACCGCGGCACCAGCGTAGGCGGGGGCGTACATGGCTTTGATAGGAGGGGAAAGAAAGATTTCAGATTACAAGACAGAAGGTCAGAGTCCACTTGAGCCAAAATGGTGGCCCAAGTGGACACTTATGAAGAGTCAAGACAAGCGACCACCTGCGGTTAACGCTTTAGCCCAATAAGCTGGCCAAGCGAGCGCAACCATGACACGGACACATTTCTGGGTGCGTGGAATATCAACCAGAAGGAGGCCAGAAATTCTGGTTGCCGGCCTCGAAAAAACATAGAGAATCCATTTCGGCCCACTCGGCCAAGTGAAAACCTACGGAGAATTGCTCAGGCCCGATTGGCAGTCTCGGGAATAGACCGTTTGCGATTCTAGCCGAGAGTGGTTTGGTCACCTTTCAAGAACAGGTCTGATACCGCGAATTCTTTGTCGTCTGAAACGTGCCTGGAAGGAGCAGGCCAAAGCCAGTCGCATGCGGGGGTGTCTTCTTTTGAGGGTACTCCTTTTCTGGTGGTCTCTAAGGGAAGCCAAAATGAAAACCACCAATTCGCGGGGACCCACCCGTTTTAATGGTTGCTTGTGTGTGTGTGTGTGTTTTTCTTCTTTCAGAGTACCCTTTCCAGGTTGGAAGAATCCGAAGGCAAACCGAAGCCATTGTGGTTGTTCCGCGTCCTGTGCATAGCTCTCCGCCACCATCTGGGTCATTGCCTCGTGGTAGTTCACAGTTGGGTCCAGGCCGCTGTGAGGCTTGATCCTGTGCATTGCAAAATGGGCGTACATGGGCATGCCGCATTCTTCCCCGTCGCGGGGGGAAGCAAGGGTCGTCCAAGCATAAAACCCTGTTTTTGCTGATCTCCATCTTACATTGCGGTTGATTGGTCCTTTCCACAACCGGAAGTTGGAGGTCAGAAAACCAAGCTTACAAGCAGCTTCCCGACTTTCCTGCGCACGTAAACATGAAATCGCGTGTTGGGAGGACTCCCTTTAAGTCGGTCTGAAGGGAAAGCACAGGGACACCCGGTCTCATGGGCCGAAACAAAGCGGCTGATTGCAAAACCCAACATCAATGGACTTGTATTTTTTATCCACCAACCATGTTTCAAGGGTGTTCCCCAGAACTAACCTCCGCTGAAACAAGGTGTGTGGCAATGTGGCGATTGGGTCACAGGTATTGTCTTTCAATAGGAGACTCTCAGGGAACTCTGGCGACTCTTGGCCCCTTGGGGACAAGCTGTCGCTCAGGCTTTCCTGTAAACCGAAACTTCCGACAGGGAACTCACCAATGAATTGTCAACCCAACAAGTAAAGCTTCAGGCAGATACTAGGAAACTGTGCCAAAGGTTTGGGTTGGGGATAGCCACAAGGGGACAAGTGGTAAGAAGGGAAATAGTTCCGGGAATCCAACACATGGTGGTTGTCCTTTTGGCTTCCCTTTACAACCACCAGAAAACAAGGTACCCTCAAAGAAAACCCACCTCTCAGCCGCCCTGGTTGCCACAATGGCATCGGCCCGGACATGTCAACGCCTATCTGGTTCTTTTATTTTTTGGACACCCTTGTTGGTTGGCTTCCAAGTGAAACCAAAAGGAAACCAAGCATGTTCTTGGGATACCCTCAAAAAAGACACCTAGGTCTCGGCACAGTCCTCTTCACGACCTTATCCACCTCCCATCCGTCTTCCGAAATCTCCCGACAGCGGTAGCACAAGCCTCGGCCGCGCTCGCCGAGGCTCACCGGCGTTTGGGCGAGGCATTGATCTTTTGTGGATTAGCGGTGGGTGTTTTGTTTCCCTTCAAAAGCATCCAAAAGGAGGGATGCGTCATTTTGCCGACCAACATTCCCACCTCAAACACCCCCTCAAACCACCCCCTCAAACCACTCCCTCAAACCACCCCCTCAAACCACCCCGGTCAAACCCAACAAGCGACCCCTCTCAACTCGGCGGCTCGATTTGTCCAGGGTGCGCATGCCCCCCTCTGCAAAGGGCTCGGTGGTGAGGCGCAACGTGAGCCTCAAGCGATCATTAGGCACCTCGAAAATGGACTCAGGTCAAAAGGTTCACCAAGTCGACCTTTGGGCATCCGACCAAAAAGGAAAAATGCGAAAAGGACCCAGCAAAAACCCCACAAAGCATCAATTCATGACCCCTCTCCCTCCCCCCAGAAAGCCATCCTCAGGTTCTCAGCTTGGACCAGTCCCAGTCAATCCCTCCAACGAAATTCCAACAGAAAATTCCCGCCATGGATCCATGGACCGTCCAAGGCGCCGGTGCTGCTCCCAGCGCCCCGAGCCGCAGTCGAAGCTGTACTTCGTGGCCTCCAGCACCTCGAACCGCTCCTCAGGTCTCGTCTCGGGGTCTCGGGGTCTCGGGGTCTCGTCTCCCGGGTCTCGTCTCGGCCGGTTTTTGGGGCGGCGCCAAAGGGGGGGAGGGCGGTTTTTCCGGCTTCTCCGCTGGGTTCCCCGGGCGGAGGCCGAAAAAAAACCGGGGGGACACGGAAGTGACGAACCACAATTGATCCGCTCGAAATGGCCGGTTTGAAGGGAACTCTCAAAGGTAAGTTTGAGAACCAAGGCATGCAGCGAGAAAATACAGGTACCGACCAAAAAGTTGGACTCCGTATTTCAACACCCATTCACCCCTCCAGCTGGTTTGTCCCATATCCCAAACCCCAAGTCTCCGAAGAGTCGTTGTTGAGAGGTGCTGGAAAGTGGATCAAAAAGCAAACCCATCCCCAAAAGGGACTTCGTATTTCAAAACACACCCAGTGTTGCAACCTGCCCTAGGTGACTTTCGGTATGGTTGGAGATGTTTCTAGCATTTGCCAAGAGTTTTCCGCTAGCAGTAAAGGATGGTGGCAATTCCGATCCTTTTTTCTGCTGTTCTAGTTGAGAGTATCAACGGGCCACGAGGAAACCGATTGACAACCTTGGCTAGGTGCTCCCGGTTTAGGATTGCCGTTTGAGCAGTTCACCATCTTAGGAAACACCATGTCTGAGGTTGTTTACCCCCGCTGAGAGATCACCCCCCTGCTGGGTTATGATCCTATTTTTGCTTGAGCCGAGAAAAATATACCCTTTGTTGGGACCGTTTGAACTACCACAAGGCCGGAAACAAGTCGTTGAGTTGGAAAATCAGACTCCCCTTAAGGCATTTCCAGGACAGACCGGGCATTTGGGCTTTGTTTCAACAAACTCCCCGGTTCAGACGGTGGCCTCATGGGCTCGTTTTCAAGCCATCAAAAATGCTCGTGAAAAGGAAAGGAAGGGCGAAACACTGCCACGCATTTTTTATTAAAAAACAAAACTTGCCTTGCCGGGCCGGCGAAAACACAGACCGGCCGGGCTGTGACAAGACCGGCCGGGCTGTGACAAGACCTGCCATCCTAAACCGGGTCACACTACCGAAATCAAGGCCAACGACGTAGGGGACAAATAGTTGTGGAAAGTACCCCCCCCCCTCTGCAAGAGAAAGTGGGCTGTCCCTATGATACTTTGTCATGTTGAAGGGGATTTCCGTGGCCACTACCAACAAACCATACATGATGTGCCTTGCGACGTGACCTTAAAACTTCCTCTGCAACGAGTTGTCCAAAACGCCAAGCGAGCTGAGGCTTCATTTCTGTGTAACTCGCCTGAAACTCTCTGCAAAAATGGTCGAACTCCGACAGTTCCAATGGAACTTTGACTTCCTGTCAAGAACTTGAGGTTGGCGATCAACCGCTGGCCGTGTAGACTGCTAAGCAGTCAGCAAAAAACTTGTCAAGCCAAGTCGCACACTTGTCGAAGAACTTCATGGCGCTACCAAAACCCGGCCAACTCGAGCCATGCGTAGCTCGGGCGAAAAGTTGCAACCCACTTCAAGCAGAAGAGATGAGCTTTGAGGCCTTTGTCACGGTTTGGTCTCAAGGACATGCAAAAGAACTGCTTCAAGAAGCTGAAATAGATGAGCATTGGGCCACGGCATCTTCCTTCAAACCAATGTATCAACATTGACGCACCAGTCCAAGCTTCGAAAGACAAGCCAAACACCGGCTCATCAGGTAAGCATTACTGACCTGTCAAACCACTCTCATAGTGATATGTATGTGTCGTCCAAAATATGTGTCCACTTGAATTTGGCCCCGAATGGCTACCATCACCAACCCGGTCTTGACTCGTGAGCCGCCATAGGGACCCCAAAGCCCTTGCCCTGCCCCCCTCCAAAAGAAACAACAACAACAACTGGAATTCGGGAATCCCCAAGTACAGGACCCTCATTCTGGGTGAGCTCGTTGTATTTCCATTCAGCTTGCCATCTCCCAGCACTCCCCTGCGCACACTCTCCCATCGCGCCACTGGAAGTTCGTCAGGATGTTTGCCTTTGTGGGCGCCTGCAAAGAACTCTGCAGCAAGCGAAAGTCGGAAGCTCAAAAGGAAAGCAACGGGAAGCTATACTGGGTCCTCCAGTAGAGAGTACGATAAAGGTACCATGTTTTTTTCCGTAGTCTATTCAGTAGGGGAACCCTCCCCCCAAAAAGGGTAAAGGGGCACTACTGGGGGACCTAGTATACTAATCAAATGGACAAAATCCATTTCGCACCACTTAGTAAGTGGTTTACCTATGTTTATCCCCAATTCACAGGGGTTTCTCGTGTTTCCTCCATCCCAACTGGTGCAGGAATTTGTCCATCCGCAGTATGTACCTTCACAGTGACACTGACTTGTTGATCTATTGCTTCAGCATGTTTCACATGGGGTTTCACATTCTAAGACTACATCGACTACCCCCAAACCACTACCCCCAGAAGCCAATGGATATATACAGGGTATATATAAAGGTTAGGAAAGGGCTATATAAGGGTTATACGAGGGCGCCTCAATTTGTGCATATTTGGCTGCTGCAGAAACCAGGTAATTCTGGAGCTGCGGCATGTGTTTCATCCGGGTCCGCTGCTATCAGTTTGACGTTGAAACTTGTGAACATCAACGCTTGGTTTGCGCCGGTATCTTTGTTTAAGGTGAACATCAAAGCTTCGCTTTCTTGGCAGCCAGTTTGGTTTGCTACTTTGATCATGTCGCGTTGGAGGGACCGCCACATCCCTGGTTTTGGGGGTAGTGAGTCCTAAAACGCGCAGTTTGGGGGTAGTGGATTTGACTGGACGATTTGGGGGTAGTCACACGTCACCTGGTATGCGCGTGAAAAAGATGAATCACACCACTACCCCCAGTTTGGGGGTACTTGGGGGCGGTAGCGCGCGGATAGTGCGGGAGTTCTGGAGTCGGTGTGGGTGGCAACAGCCCCAAAATTGCATTTCGAATACCGGGACAATCGACCACAAAAGTTCACCACTTTTAGCCACGAGGTAGACGGGCACCAGGCTAAGCCATTCTGAAGAATTGTGCTGGTCGGGACTCGCCATTCTAGGGGCCACGCAGCTACAGGCAAATAATTGCAAACATCAAGCAGTTTGAAGGGTCCGCTGGAGCACAAAATGTGGGCTTTTGGGGGTAGTGTTTTGGGGGGTAGTGAGTTTGGTCTTAGACATAAGGATATACAGAGTCTATGGACGGCATCAAGGAGGATACCATTTTCAAACTTGGTATGCATAGCTTGGGCTTCTCCTGTGCAAGACGCAAAAAGCGTTGCCGCTTTTGGTGCTAGTTGGCAGGCACTCGCATAGAGTCTGATGAGTTCCGCTGGCGTGAGCATCTCAGGGTTGTGCTGGGCTTTTGCTGGCGTGGTTGAGTCAGCTGGGAGTGACTTTCGAGTGACTCTTGAGTGAGCGGAAGGGGCGGAACCGGTGATCATCTAATGGCTCTCGCCTTTCGGTCGAGAAGCAATACCCTTGAGGTGCAAGAAATGGGTTGCGTCTCCAAAGGGCCCGCCCGCGTCAAACGGGGAGTAAACTAGCTGCCGCCTTCAACCCAGGTCAAGGGGGTCCTATCTTTTGGGCAACCTCTCGTAGAAACCATCTACAGGAAAGTTTGCAGGAAAGTGGCCAACTACCCACCAAAAGCATGTTGATCTCCTGTAAAATGTGCGGTGGCTGGTTCTTAACTCGCGAGCCCCAAAAACCGCCCCCAACGCGCCGCCCAAAGCGGCCTGCCTGCGAGGGCCTTGCTGGCACCCCGTTCTCCCCATCCACCAGGATGCGGATTTTGTCCTCCTCCATGAGCAGCGCCTGCCTGACGTGGGAGTTAGGGATTCATGTCCAAAAATGGCTGGAAAGAAAGTCCCGCGTTCAACCAGCCACCTTGGAAGGCTGAATCCCCCTCCTCTACAGGGCACTCTCACCATTTGCTAGGCCTTGGAAGGTGTCGGCAGGAGGCTTTTGTCAGCTTTGCTGGCAGGGTGGATGCCCCCATCTTGCGAGCAAACCAATCACACCCGCAAAGCCGTTCCTTGTTCCCTTACTTGCAATATGACATGGGCATCAGTGGGTTCGCTCTTGCCACCTCGCCTTTTGACTGAAGCAGGATGGGAATCACCTGTGCTAGCACCGGAAGGCCTTCCCAAACACCTTCACTGGGGGGGGTGGAAGCCTCTAGCACAGAAGTTGGGAAATCCCCTCAAACCCCCAACCCAGGTCCAGGAAACCAACATGAAACCAGCAAGAGGGATCCCTTTGTCAGTGTCGTTGGAAACGATCACCATGTGGAGAAGGCAAAGACTTGTCGCTTGTTGATCCTCATTCACAAAGGCAGTCAACCTTTTGCCACACAGCAATGTGTGACAAGGATTGCTTCGTCGAGAAACCAAAGGGAAAGCTGGCAGGCCCCCTAACCCACGATGTGGGGGCCCATGTTGGATGGCGACTTAGGGCAAACCAAACTGAAATCCACCATTTGTTGGGTCCCCCTAGTTCAGGAACCCCACATGAGCAATGCTGTTTGAGAACCTTCGGAGGGCACGCGTTGCTTTATTTTAGTGGAAATTCCGGTGCCTTACTTTGGGGTTGCATTGAGGGAAACCCGAAGGAAAACCACACATTTCCACGGGTCTCCTGTTTGACACATAGCCCGCGGCCTCAGGACGCTGTGCAAGTTCCAGGCGTCATTCACAGCGCCCTTCAACTGAGCGTGGGAGCCTCGCGATGCGGCAAGGTCCGGCAACGCATTCGGAGCCGTCGGTGCCAATCAGAGAAAGGAGGAAAGGAAATTCAACATGGTGTATCCTACTGTGGGTGCACAAAATCCGGCACCAGTTGGTAGATAGTTTACCCCTCTAGGACTCTAGGGCTTTTTCCATCCCAACTGGTGCAGGTTTGTACAGTGCCAGCCCGTTTTCAGAGTGAAACCACAAGGAAGCCAACGTCCCAGTCTGGAGACTTGGCCACACCAAGCGGCGCCAGGCACGAGGCGAGCCCAATGACACCTTGCCTTACTCTTGGCGTAAGACCTCCCGTACCCACACTATGTGGGCAATTATTCGTATGGCGGGTTTCATGATATCCGCTTGAAATGCAATCTTCAAGTTCTGGCTGTTTACCATTTGATGTGAATGGTCGGACGCAAGTCGCATCGGATCGCTCTCGCGGCGGCGCAGTGTGAATTTCTAACATCGAAGCCTCTGTGGACGCTGGCGACGCGGGGTCGCCCGCGCCGTGGCGCGGTCTGAAATCTGAACATTGACCATAAAATTGTGAAGATCCTCTGCACAAATCACTCCATCTGTAGCAGGGCGTTCTAAAAAATACTGTTCATGTCGATGCTCTCGAAAAACTGATGCGCATGCTACCAGCGGGAGATACCATGGGCCTTGTGTAAGATTTTTGCAACCAGATCTCTGAGAGGACTGCCCATCGAGATCCTCCTGAGAAACCTTGCACACAGAATTTTGCTGGGGATCCAACAAGAAGATCGCGCAGGAGTGAGCTGCCATATAGTCCTTTGCTGTGCTGTTTCGCACGACTTTCGTGAGTGAGCATCTTCATTCGTCTCGAGATCCTCCAGAGAGATGTTGGCACAAATCGTTGTTAGAGATTCGCAAGCTCGCGCAGGACCTTGTGAATACCTTCTCTCTAAAAGAGATTCTCTCACGGGGTCTTGCGCAGGACCTTCTACATAGATGCTCTGCCCAGATCCTCTGAAAGACCTCCAGCAGGAGATCCGGGACAAGGACCTAAGGACTGCACATCAAGATCCTCTGAACAGAACGTATCCACAGACACTTGTTCGAGATCTTGCAAGAAGATCTTGCGCAAAACGCTATGAGCACCTTCTAAAGATAACCTATATCGTGTCAATGCACAGGACCTTTTACATAGATGCGCTCTCAGAGCCGCATGATCATCCATCCAGATCCCACCAAGACTCCTTGGACACAAATGCTGGTTAGAGATAGTGCAAGGAGATCTTGTAAAGGACCCTTTGAGCACCTTCTAAACATATCGTCTCAAGACATCTGTCCAGGACCCTGTGAGAAAACGTTTCAAGCGATCTTCCATCAAGTTCACTTACATCCTGCTTAAGACCTGTCATACATGATCTGCCAGCAAAAGATCCTGCACAGGACCTACCATTGGCTTTGTGCAAAGGTGTTGACAACATATCCTTGAGAGCCGTCTACCGAGATACTCCCAAGAGACCTTGAACCTAGGTCCTCGTTAGCTTCTCTGGCTCTGTGGTCCTTGTTTCCTATTCGCACTGTTTGGGGCGGGTGTATGTTTTTGTCTGCTGCAAACAACGCAGCAAAACCACCAAGCATCCAAGAACCTAACCCTCCAGAAACAAAGTTGCCTAACCACCTTGTCAAACCCGCTGGAATCTAGGACATTTCGCAGTGGTTTCCCCCTTTCTAGTTGAAACCCGGGGCAGAACGGAGCTGCCAGATCGGCGACCGAAGTCGGCCTGCGTAGTTGATGCCGATGATCAGCGCCTGCGATTCCGCGAGAATTGCGGTGCCCTTCCACCGTTCTAACTACTTCCATTTGCCCCAGGAAAAACATAGAAAATAAATGTCCAGTACTGATGAATTCCTTTTAAAACCAAGGGACAATAACATGTTCTTAAGCAAATGGAGGACTACGACTGCTACTACCACTGCTACCACTGCTACCACTGCTACCACTACTACCACTACTACCACTACTACCACTACTACCACTACTACCACTACTACCACTACTACCACTACTACCACTACTACCACTACTACCACTACTACCACTACTACCACTACTACCACTACTACCACTACTGCTGCTGATGCTGCTGCTTCTACCACTACCAATACCACACCGCTACCACCGGCATTTTCCAAAGGGAGGCCAGGGCCACGGAGCCGTTTTTACAACAAGGCCAAAAAGGAGATGATGTCTGAGCAGTCATTGGAGAGTGGCTGCCAAAAGTGCGCATACACGCTTAATGCAACAAATGGTCGGATCTTTCCGAACGGCTCCTCACTCTTTGATACAGTGAATACATCATGTCATGTGCATCAAATAACTCGCTCGACCACATTTGGAGACCCCCTGTTGGTTGTTAAAGCAAACCCCCCATATTTGGGTGCCCACATTTTTGAGACAAACCCACATGTTCACCTTAGTTTCCCGTGAAGCCTGTCCAAAAACGAGCATTCCTCCCCTGCCACTAGAGCTGAACCCTTCGCCGCGTCGGCCTTGCGCCGCACGTTGGCGGGCAACGGGTTCCGCATGATGTCCGGCCTTGCTCGGCCCAGGGAAAACATGTTGGTTTACCCGAAGGCAAACTCAAACCCAGGGTTGGCTAGGTCGCCCCAGAGAAGTATCTCAAGCGCACAAATCGGAGCCCGTCATCTTACCAGACAGTGAGAAACCCGACAAGATAGCCCAGGCAGGGTAAAGGCGAAGATCACTCTGCATGAGGTTTCTGTTGGGACTATGCCTAATGAACGTTCTAACAGACCCTCACTAGCAGTTGTGGTGCCGAGTTGGCTTTTGGTAGGTGGGGAGAGAGAGGGCACCCCAAAACTGACCTTAAGAACCATTGAACAAAAGCCCGGCACCGCTTGAAGCTTCCCACATTTTGCGTCAGACCTACGTGTCCCTACGGACAACGAATTTGCCGGTCTCCAAGCCGCCGTGCACAGGGGGCGCCTCTGCTCTGTGCTCCTGGGCCAAAAGATCTTACGCACCGAGGAAACCTCGCCTTTCCTCCTCGCAAATTGCCATCCCACCAACTGACATGGAATCCGACACGGGGGTCCCTGAAGACCATGTTCCTTTCAAAAGACTCCCTGTCTGGTTCCATGTTTTTTGGTACTTGCTTGTCTTCAGCGAGACAGGGTGTTCTTCACGGCAAGTCCTGAAAGCAATTGAGCAGCGCCCAAAGCCCGACACCCTTTGACGGTTGGTCCTGCCAACACGATTTGTGTAGCCCTTAACCTACAATGCCCATATTACAATGGCCAATAGAGGTTTTGGGTGCTGCTCAATTCACGAATCAAATAAGCGATAAGAGCGCTTCATTCTGGGTAAGCTTGATCTCTGCTGACGTCGATATAAGGTTGTGCAGAGTCATAAGATCCCAACCCCCCGTAGGACCTGTTTCGGCGCCGCGCGCGCGTTTCACCACTCGATCCCACGCGCGCGCGGAGAAATTCCAAACGATCACCAGAAGAGGTCGTCGAGGTCCACGTCGGACTCAGACTGGCAGGCGAGGGATCTAAGGGACACACGCAAAAGCCTGAAAAAGAAGGGATCCTTACATTATACACCTGAACAATGCCTTGTTAATGGTGCTTTCCCTTTATTTTGGTGGAAAACGCCATGTTTCAAATGGGCAAAATGTATCTTTTGAGGAGCCCCTTTAACAGTCTGGCTGGTTCTTCGAAGGGAACGAGAAATGGAATGACCCCCAAAAACCAGCCCCTATGGTTGCCTTTCACAAAATCCCCCCAACCCGGTTCATTCCCGATCAGTCCCCTACCTTTTCGAAGAAAGCCCACGTAGGTCTTGCCCCCAAAAGAAACCGGAAATAGATGGTAGATGATTAAAGCACCAGGTTAACCAGGGCCACCTGTTTTTAAACCCAAAAAACCAAAAAGGGCACCTATGCCTCCGGCCCCACATCCCATGCCTCGCGCTCCCGCGCCGCGGCTTCCGCAGAAGCCGAAGCCGCCCGGCGGTGTCTTGGTGCGTCGGAGAGGCCCCGCCAGAGCTCCTGCTGGTGCCTAGAAGGAATCGATGGACGGAATCCACATGCTCACTGTACATGCCACAAAACCGGACTGGATAAGGCATCTCCAAAAGGAAGCCCCATAGAAAACATGCACAGGCGGCGTTCTTGGAGCAAGGTGCACTCGCTGATCAGAACCCGGATGACATCGAGACTGCATCTGGGTTGAAGCCCAAAGTGGTCCCTACCGTTCATACCATCTAATCGTTTTGCAGTCCCTCAGTCCCATCCATCCCTCCATCCACCCCTTGTTGAACCATGCGAATATCCCTGGTACCGGCAAGCGCCAGAAGACGAAGCCAGCCTGTACGAGAGATCCTCCTCCGCTGTCCCCAGCGTCACGAAGCGCCAGAGGTACACTGGCCTGAAGGGAGAGGGGTTCTATGACTTAGAAAAGGACAGCCGCTGTCCGACCATTCAAAACGAAAACCAAAACGAAAACCACCACTTGGTGGGTTTTCGGGGTCCCCAAAAAAAGGACCCCCCCCCCTTGTTCCATGTGCCCCGAGTTCCGAGAAAACCCCTTCAGACCTTCCCCCGCTCATGCCAAAGGGGGGCCTGCCGTGTGGCCCGCCTGGTCTGGCCCAGTCGCAGGCAGCGTCCCAGGGCCTGCTGCTCGTAGGCCACCGAGAGGCGGGAGGTCTTGGCGAGCATGGGGTGCACGAAGAGCACGTGGTTCCTGAACAGTTCGAAGGGGTGGGTTGTTGGGGGGTTGTTGGGGGTGGTTGGGGGGTGGTGGTTGCGGGGTGGTTGCGGGGTGGTTGCGGGGTGGTTAGTGGGTGGCTAGTAATGGGTGAGCTGATGGGAGATGGGCTGAAAGTGAGGGTTAGGCGATTCAACCTTTCTGGGTTGACATGTTGAAGCACTCAGAAACACCTGCTGTTTTTGTTCAACCTCCTTTTTGCCCCCCCCCCCCCTCGGCCCCCAGGATCTGGCTTAAGCCCTTTATGCCCAACCCTGGGTCGAAGTGCCCCGCTGAGTTCATGGAAAAACTGGACATGGGATGAGACCGAACATGATATGGGTATGGGTCAAAAATAAACCAGGGGACCGCAAAATTTGGTTTTAGTGTTTCCATGGTTCCATTTGGAGTACCTATCTTTGACCCACGGCCATATGAGCTGCAGCGGATTCCAAGGACACAATGCAAGCGAGCCAACCCATATCCAAAGCCTACCGTAAACCACGTCGGCGCTGCTTGCAACATCTTTGTATGCGACGTATAGCAAGGTCCGGCAATGTCATTCTTTGTGCCAGTTGGGACTGGATATCTCGTATATTTAAAACACCAGAGCTCAAGGCACAGCCCAATCAGCTTCCCTCTTGGGATTGGTTTGGAGGTGTTTCATATAAGAGCCAGAGGTTACAAATGCTTCAAATCCCCGAACCGATCCAAACCAAAGGGTCGCTTAACTCAAAGGCTCGAGGGTGGGACTTGTTTCGGTATGTCCCAATCACATGCCGTTTTTTTCCGCGTCCTCCACCAAAAAAAAAAAAAAAAACGCCCGCTCTGCGAAGGTATAACAAAAGCAGCTACCTTGCTATTTGTTTGTCACATCAGGAGAGAAAAAAAGACATGCGGACCATGTGGGTGTCCCCATTCGAAGAAATGGAAGCGAAATGGGTCCCGAATTCATCCCGCCACTCACGGTTGCAATTTGTTTCAAGCCGCTGGCCAAATGCTGTGCTAGCAATGGCCAGGCTCGTGTCCCCACCCCGTGAGTGTATGGAAGTATGGAAGTGGGGGGACAACCCCCCCTATCGAGCACTTCCACAAGATTTCGCTCGGTCCAAGAGAAAAGCGTTCTTCAGTCCTTGGGTGTCCTTGGCATCTCCCCCCTTCAGTTGACACCATGTCAACCCCAGGTAGATCAAGTAGCCTTAAAGTGAGGGGTCACTATATTTCCCACCGAAACATTCGTAAACCTGCAACTTTTGATCCCTCCATAGTCGCACCCCATATTTAGAAGCCAGACAGGACCGGATGCCGACTCGACGCAGCCCAGCAGCGCTCGGGTAAGGTTCGTGCCGGAGGCTGCGTCCTGCAAAGAGAGCAGCAGCACCTGAAGGCTTTGCGGGACCCCACCCCCGCCCAAAAACAACATATGATAGCGCGAATTGGTGGTTTGGATTGGTGACGCCGCCCTCCCAGAAGGAAAAAGCAACAACCAAAAAAAGGACTTCGCTCACACCTGCAGGTCGTAGCTGCCAGTGGAAACATGCGCAGGCGGTCGCTCCAAGACGACCCGGGATGATGATCACATCTGTTTGGCGGCCGTCGTCTTTGGGCCATGTCGCTTGTAAAAATTTCAGTCTGCAACACGACCTGGGCAAATCCTACTTAGTCCAACCAAAACGAAGGGACCCCCAAGAAAGCCTCCTGAACTTTGGCCTCGGCGCCTTGGGCCCCTGGGTGCTGTCCTCCGGGGCATTTTGGAAGCTGCCGACCACATCGTCCCGTTCCCAGAAGTTCAGAGCGCGACCGTCCGCGGCCTCCTGCAGCGCAAAAAAAGGGCTGGGTCTGGGTGTGGTTTGAAGCGCGGCACTTCTTGGGGGGTGGTTTAAAGGGAGACCAAAGAGAAAATCAAACGCAGGCCTATATTGTACTGTGCCCCAACCCATGAAGATTCCTTTGATAGGGTGTGCAGGGATGCTAAAAAGGCATGTTGAAGTTCTTGGATGGGTCCGGGATCCAACTTCATGTGAATTCTTGTGAATTAATCCTAAGGGCAATTTCATCAATTGGGGGGGGCACACCCTTTATCGCCAAACACCCCCCAACGCCCCCCCCCTTTGAGTGTTTCAGAGGGGGAGAAAAAAGAGACCCCATTTCAACCCCCTTTATTCATATCTCAGACCCCAAAAACCACCAAAACCCCCCCACCCCCCAACCCCTTTTCAGAGAACGGAGAGGAAAAAAAGAAGGAACCCGTGTTGACCCAACTTCCCCTCCAACCACCTCCCCACCCCAACCCCTCCTCGAGGCACACGAAGGGCACCTGGAACTCCGTGAAGGCCGCCGCCAGCTTCCGGCGCAGCGCCGCCCACTGCACGAAGACGATGGCCCGGGCCCTCGGGTCCTCCACGGCGCCAAGGCTTGGAGGAGCGATGTGCCCCGCAGCCGTAAAAACCATTATATGTGTGTGTGTGTATATATATATATTGTGTTCTATGTTATTTATTTTTTTAATATCCGCCGACAACAGACGGCGTGTTGGACACAAAAAATGCTCCTTACCTCTTTACCTGTTACCCCTCCCCTAACCCCTCCCCAGGGGCACCATTCAGACTATTGCGGGGGGGGGGGGGGGGTGCCATGGACGCTTAGCGTCCATTTTGCGGCCAGCTTTCCGTGCGGCTCGCGCGGTTGCTGAACCCTCTGAACCCTCTGCGCGGCTCGAGCGGGTAGACCTTTGAAAGCTCGTGTCTTTGCGTTTTTCTACTTGTCACGGGCAACCCTTTGCACACTTTGGGCGGTCAAACCTTGAAAAACTCTTTTTTCCTGCTTTGCACTCCGCTGGCAAGGTCCCTTGCAGCCCCTTTGCGCACTTTGGGCGGGCAGACCTTTGAAACCAAAAAACGGCGTTGTTCTTTTGTTTTCCGCATTACTTGCACAACCTTTGACCTCCATGACTAAAGTAAGTGTTCTCACTTTTGCCGATGGGAATCCCCGACAAAAAAACAAGAAGCTCAGCTCAGGAATCCACAGGGCCCAAAGCTACCCCGCACATGAATTGTCTGGATGCGAATGTTCGTGTTGGCTTGCGTCTGCTGTCTCTACGGGCGTCTCTGGACACAGCCACATTTACTGGGCGCGTTTTGTTTTTATGTTTCGCGGTTTTCCGCGCCTGTGGCTTGACTGGAGATCGAACGTCGTTCTGATTCGTCCCTGGTTCCCTCCCACAACGAGTGACACACGTGACCATCCTCAATTCTGCCTGGTACCTTCGCCTTGGATTTTGCAGGGTTGTGGAGGACGTCACCCAATTTCGGGCACATGCTGGCACCTTTGTTACGTTCGAGGGTGCGTTGGACCGACAAGTGGCGGCCTGGATGTGCGAGCTTCCGGTGGCTTGACCCAAAAAGCCACCTGTGCACCTTTTGGTTCCCTGTCTTGGTCAACATTCTGTCAAGCCCCAGATCTTTCCGGCTTTTGCGCAACTTTGCTTCATTGGAAATATACGCGAGAGCGGCAAGTGGAAATTTAGGTTTGGCCATGGCCGCGTGGCAGTTGTTATGTCGATAACGGGCTGCAGAAACCGATACTTCAGGCATGATTGTCACTGTCGTGAGCCATACATGGAAGAGCGCGGCCGGGGGACTGCTTTGTCATCAACCTTGCCACGTGATATGTTTTCTGGCGGGATCTGAAGATTATGCTCACTCTACGTTTGCTGCTTTCAATGGCACTGCGTCTTGTTGCAAAGTCAATTCAACTTCATGCGCAATCCGGACAGCCTGGGCTCATTGAGCTGCTAGGAAGAGCTGCGACACGTCTGTGTTCCACTCAAGCCGAAACGCCTCACGTGGGGAAGGGGGGGGCGCTTGTCAACTTGGGCAGGGCCGTGCGCAGAACACGCGGCGACTTATAGCGACTCATAGCAGCCACAGAATTCAACAGTTCAACGCGTTGCTTCATTTGCAGCATTGTGTACGCCTTGATGCAGAGTTCTGGCCTGCCATGACGTGCCCAGAAGAACTGATGCTGGACTCCACAAAAGGCAGGCCAAGCTTTGTTTCCTTGGTGCCCATGTTAACGTAGCCAAAGCTTGCGAACCCACACTCTGAGGGTACATGATTTAGAGCGTGCAGCCCTCTTGCTTGCCAGGGGCGCCCAGTCTGCGCACCTGATTGATTGACGCTGTGCGAAGGTTTGTGCTTCATGAGGCACTCAATTGCCACGTCAGCTGCGAAACCCGATGGGGGCTTTTTTTTTGGAAAGCTTGGCTTTGTTTCATGCCCCTTCAATGTTAGTTAAATTCTGTGTTCATGGCAAGATCGGAGAAACGAACGCGATCCGACTGGTTCGCAGCAACCTCGACTCGCCAGGCTGTCGCCGGTCCCATGTTGCTTCGCGGGCTGCAGCCGCTCGAAGCCTTTTCTGGGAGGCTCGAGTCGAGAGCTGCTAAAGCGGGCCTACAGGGGCTGACGGCAAGTAGGGTTTCTCACCTTTTTTTGGGGGGGCAGGAAGTCACGTTTGCTGACCCGCTGTATTTGTGGCTTACTAATTGGCTGGCATGGTTTGTGTCCGCGCAGTTGCTCCTGAACCATCGTGAAGTTGTGATGCTGAGGTTCTTAGGACGATGATGATGATGATGCAGCTCCTGTTGGCGGCTCAAGCGTTACTTCGAAGGGCGAACAGTGCTCTATCATGCCAGGGCAGCCGGGTAAGCCGGGAAAGTCCGGCAAGCCGGGCCTTCCTGGCAGCCCCGGCCAGCCGGGCGGAACTGCGTCGCACGTGAAACAGCAGCTCTTGAACATGGCTTCAGCCCTCATCCTCTGCACGCTGGCCAAGACCGAGGGTGAGGCAGCGGCCAAAGCGCAGGAAGCTTCGTTAGGGTCTGTGATCTCCCGGCACAAGGAGTGGCCCGCCCACCAACACTGCGAGGTGGAGCCGGATTTGGACTCAGCTTCCTTGGCACTTCTGGCGGCCTGTGTTGGATGCAGCGTGGCTGCTGCGCTCGCCAAGAGCTGGTTCGTTCGATTGGTGGCGAACTTCGACGGCTCGCTGGATGCCTTCGGCTTTGACTGGCGTGGGATGCAGGCCCGCCACTACACCCGGGCAAGTGTGCGCAAGGCCATCGGCGCCCTAACCTTCGATGTGGCGTGCCCGAGGGCGCGTCTGCAACAATGGCAGGCGCACCATCGAACCTGCAAGGGTGGTCGCGGCAAGTTTTCAATGAAAGTGGAAGCAGCGGACCTGTTCCACGACTTGACCGTCGCGGGAGCGTGGGAGAAGTGCATCGCTGCCGGGCTGACTCATGAGTCCCTGGAGCAAATTCTCCACGTCCATAGCCCATTCCTTCGCAAACTTGTCCTACACGACGTGTACTTGTCACACAGGAAGGGGCAGCTGGACTCGGACATCGTTGGTCACGGCGCACGTCCAATCCTGATGAAAGCCACTGGATTTCGGGGGAAGCCCGACTCCCAGGCTGCCATCAACAGCGCCCCAGAGAGACTGGGCCGCTTGCACGCATTTCTCCAAGCAAATGTAGAACGAGTGGCGGGCCCCAAGGTACTGCGGCAAGTGTGTCCGTTTGGATGGCGCAAGCGGCACACGCAGCACATGTGCTGCGAGTTGAGGCGGTGGCTCCGCCGGAAGAAGGCCAAGAGGGGCCGTGTGCGGGACGCTGCAGCAGCGAGCGCGCGTGCTGAGCTACGCACGCGACGGCTTTGCCGTGTTTGGAAGCAACTCGGCTTCACGAAGGCTCCGGGAGTGGTGAAGGCTTGGCTCAAAAAAAGCGGCTGCGCCCGGCAAGTGTGTTGCGCGTGGTGTGCGGACGTGCTTTTAAGATGCTGGTTGTAGGGCGGCTGGCTGAGGCATGCAAGTGTGGCCGCCTTAGGCCCATGTTCGGTATCTTGCGCATGTCTTGCCAAGTCGGGACAAAACGCAACAATAAGAAGGAGCGTGTAAGTTGAGTGGTAGCAGAAGGTGCAATATTTACATGTATCTTGGTACCCTTTCGCTCACCCAGGCAACGCAGAAATTACAGCCACTGTCGCCTGATGTAGCATCCTGGAACCAACTTGTTAGG